TAAGTCAATAGCCACCAAAGTTTCAGAGGCAAGAAAATAGCATATAATCTTTGCATTTGCACATATAAATGTCAGAAGCATATTTTTTAGGAGAGGATTTAAAAAAAAAAGTCCTTTGGCTGTAAGTCCTATGGACCCCACCAACCTGCAGTCTGAGACCCAGAAACAGAAAAAAAAAGAGAAGAAAACATTTCGAACCTTAGTTGAAGTTGCTGCCAGAGGTCCAGTCAGGGGAGGAGAATTATCTAAGGGGGAAGGGGAAGCCGCTCGCTATTTAAAGTGTGGATCCAGAACGCCCCTGTGGCACTTGTAATTCTAAACTTGGCCCAACCCACATTCCACCCTTGTGCCTCCCCTTCCCCTTTTCTGCCCTCCCCTCGGCCACTGGACAACACACACAGGAGTGATTTCGCAGTCTGGGGAATGTGCACACCCCGGCAGGTCCGGCCAGCTGCTGGTGAGCTTATGAAGCATGCTCTCTTCCCCGGGACTCATGTGCTTTTCCCACTTGGTGACCTCAGGGTCTCTCTGGAGGGCTTCTGCCTCTCACCCCTGTCTCCAACACAAGTGCTCCTCTCAGTCCATCAAGAATAGGTGTTCATTTGGTCAGGTCCTGTGTAGATTAATTTAAAAATACATTTATCTTACCGTTTTGCAGCTTGCAATGTGGAATGGACAATGATTTGGGAAAAAGAGACATAGATTACAGAGCTCTGAGATGTCAAAAAAACTTCCCAAACACACACATTTATGCACATTTGGAAAAAGTCTGAAAAAATCTTCACTAAACAGTTAATAGTAGTTACATTTGCAGAGTGGAACTGAGATCAGGACATGGTAGTAAGGGAGATATTTTTCTCCACTCTATCAATATTGTTTGAATTTTAAAATAATATACTAGCATTTTTAATTATTTGTAACTCAATAGAGAAGTTACGTGCCAACGTTTAAAATAAAGCAAAGCCCTAAATCTGTCATAAGTGAAGGAGCTGGCAGTGAGCACGAGGCAGAGGTCATCCAGGGAGCTTCGTTTTTCTGCAAGAACAGCCCACGGAGCAGCTGTGAGAGCAGTTCATTCAGGCCGGAGTCTAGAACAGGGCAGAGTCCCAGCTCAGCCACATGCACGGTGCGTGTAGTGGAGACCTGCTCATGCTTGACACTGAAGAGTGTGGGGTCTGAGTCCTGCGTATGCCACTTTCTAGCTTGAGATTTCAGGAGATGATGGGTAACTGTAAATCGTAGCTCTTATTCACTCTTAAGGGATTATTCACAGTGAGCAGGGAAGTCTTCCTGAGAGACCCCTGAGCAAAGCTGGGCTCTGGCCAGACTGTGAGAATGAGCTGGGTGGGGGATGTGGCAGTGAGTGAGTGAGGTGACAGAGACATCTTGAGATGCCAGAGAGGTGAGGAAAGGAAGATGCATCAGGGAGTCTAAGGTAGTTTCCATTTCCTTGATCTCTCACCTAACTCTATGGCATGGGGTAGGGGCAGGGAAACACTGCATGGTAATACCTGGAAAGCTTCCCAGAAGCTTCTTGGAAATTATTATTCTTATGTTTCAGCTGCCCCTGTTCGTCTCCCCCTTTCAACCTTTCATCTGTTAGATTGAGCTGTGTAAAGCAATGAACCAAAAGCATCCCGAGATAGGCTACAAACTCATGTAAAAGAAGACCGTCTTCAAAGCAATGCTACTGACTTTCATTTTTACTTGTCATTGAGTGGTACTTACTAATGGCCTATAAAGCATTATAAACTTTGGCATTTGTAATCTAAAATTACCAGATAACTGGTGTTTTCTCAGATACCATTCAGCTTTTGGCAATGTTGCACAGCCCTTCTGTGTCCTCACACATGCAAACAGTTGCAATTTCCAGTTTTCAGGAAAGTCTGTCAGTGATAAGGACTTCATCAGGCTTATCTGGAGTTGGCTGTGAGTTGCTGCTCTTGTATTAAGGAACGTTGGCTTTACTTACCAACCCTTTTGTTTTTACGTAACTGCTGCCATGTTGCCATTTTGACTGCTATTTTATTCCCCTCCAAATATTTGTTATCCCCAATTTCTTTTTCCCCTATAAAGCGGGAATGGCTATGGTAGGTTTTTTGTCCTGCTTAGGTTGACAAAAGTTAAAGAAAAAAGAAAAAGCTTCAGAACCACTGGTAGATAAATGTTGGTGACAGTCCCTCACAGCTTTCTGTCTGGGGTTCAGCACAAATCAGGCATGACTAGCCTTGCATCTACCTCACGTTGCCATCATCCTTTGGTCTGCTGGGTGCAAAGTCAAGAACCCTGAAAACAGGTAGCACCACAATCAGTATTTAAGAGTTCTTACTTAAGAGGTTGCATACATTTTAAGACTCACTAGAGACTATTAGTGAGGATGAATGAGGGCTGTGCTTCCAGTACTGTATAAAACAAAGTGAATCATGCAAAACGCAGGACTAGGAGGTCCTGAGCTGTACCAAGTTGATCCCAGGTATATTTAAATGATAGTACACCATGATACACTCTCCCAAAACATTTTTTATTCTACTAGGAGTGGAATAAGAACAAATAAAATTTATGTAGTTTGACATTTCACTGAAACAAATTTTAAAAGGAGCATTATTTGTTTCAAGAAGGAATATTTCTGAGCAACATCAAGGTGGCAAAGGAAGTGGTGGGTTCTCCTCTGGAGACCTTTCAATTAAGAGATGTAGTTCTGCTGAGTCATAGGAGTCAAAAACCTGTTGACTTTTTGGATCCCTTTTCAAATAGCACACTGAAAGAAAAGAGCAAGTAGAATAAACAACAAATTATGCCTTGCTATAACTGGAATAATTTGAACAACAAAATGAATAATGATTGTATTGGACTGTAGCCCAAAGTTCACTAATAAGTTCATGCTGATACAAATAACCAATAAGTTAGTAAGTGGGGAAGAGAGAATTGCTATTCCTTACAGTAGAATTTCAATTAATAAATGTAGAAGGATGCTGAGCATGGTGGCATGCACCTGTAACCTCAGCTACTCAGAGAGGCTGAGGTGGGAGGATTACTTCAGCTCAGGAATTTGAGGCAAGCCTGAGCAAGACCCCATCTTAAAGAGAAAGAAGTGTTAATAAATGTAGAAGGAAAGAAAGAAACAGAAAATCACCCCTAGACAAACACCACTGTAATAATTGTTGCAGACAAGACCCACCAATGAATGCTAAAATGAGTGGGTGCAAGCTCAGGGAGGAATCGAATTTTTACAGTCTCAAAATATTTCCCCCAAGATATTTATTAACTACAAAGGGAAAAATAGTAATGTTGAAGTAGAGAAGCCAGGCAGAAACCACCTTAACCAAATGGCCAAGGTCAACCTCACCAGTCATAAGACAGTAGTAAGACAGCAATATCTATATCATGAACCATGGATATAATGTACCAAGAGGGACACAACATTTCTGTGGTATTCTTGCCAAAAATGTGGCTCAATGGCAAGAAACATAAGACAAACCCAAAGTGAGGGGCATTTGACAAAATGATCACCACTCTTCAAAAGTGCCAAAGTGTCACAAAAGACAAGGTAGACGAGAAAGACTGAGGAGCTGTTTTAGGCTGCAGAAGACTAACGAAAAATGACAACTAAAGGCAATAACAACTAAATAATAACAACTCGAATGGGATCCTAGATAGGATCCTGGAATAAAAAAGGACATTAATGTAAAAACTGGTGGAAGTTGCATAAGGCATTGAGTTTAATGGTACTCTCTCAATGTTCTAACAATTGTACTCTGGTTGTGAAAGATGCTAACATTAGGGGAAGCTGAGTGAAAGACGGATGGACACTCTCTGTGCTATTTTTGCAATTTTTCTGTAAGTCTAAAATTAGCTTAAAATCAAGTTTTTTGTTCTCTGGTTTTTTCTTTTTAAGACTTTTGTTTACACTCTGTTACAGCCCGAGTACTTGACCCTGCTGTGAAAAGCTCTGGGATGTTACATGTTACATGCAGATGTTACATGCAGATGTTACATGCAGAAACCAGAGGTGTCACTGAAGACTTTTCTGTTTGATCCCAGATGGGATAATTCACCTAAATTCTATAAGCTCCAATTTTTTTCTTTCTCCCTTCCTTTCTTTCTTTCTTCCTTCCTTCCTTCCATTATTTCTTTCTCTTTCTTTCTTTCTCTCTCTCTTTCTTTCCTTCCTTCCCTCCCTCCCTTTTTTCCCTCCCTTCCCCTTCCCCTTCCCTTCCTTTTCTTTCTTCCAGATAAGCATCTCACTCTATTGCCCAAGCTGCAGTGCAGTGGTACAATCATAGCTCACTGAAGCCTCAACCACCCAGGCTCAAAGGATCTGCAAAACTCAGTCTCCCCAGTAGCTGGGGCTATAGGTGTGGGACTAGCAAGTGATTTAACTATCTCTTTAATTACCACCATGCCTAGCTAATTATTTTTTAACCTTTTATAGAGATGGGGTCTTGCTATATTGCCCAGGCTGGCCTTAAACTCCTAGCCTCAAGCAATCCTTCTGCCTCAGGCTCCCAAAGCACTGGCATTATAGGCATGAGCCACCATGCCAGACCCAAGATCTGAAAGAAACAAGACTTATGACAAAGAATATTAATAACATCAATCATTACGATTACTAACATTTGTTGTGCATTTCAAACGTGCCAGGCATGGTGCTAAGTGCTATATAGGCACCATCTCGCTTTATCCTCAGAACAAATCTATGACTCAAGAATTACGGACATAACCATTTTAAAGATAGGAAAACAAAGGCTTAGAGATAATTAAATCACTTGCTAGGCCACATAACTAGTAAATGGTAGACCCAGGATTTGAACTCAGATTTGTGGAATTCTAAAGTCCATTATTTATTTATAGCTGCCATGCTATACTTTAATTGTGGGTGGGGAGTCAAGAAAAACACTAAAAAGCACAACTCTAGTACTGTTTATTTTGGCTATTGCTGGCCCGTGGGATTAAACATAACTTTCTTGGCAGTCGGCTTGAGTACTCCCTATAACGAGGAGGTGTTCTCGGCTGTCCCACCCTCCCCTAGCCATCGGCACGCACACTGTGACCAAGAACGAGAAGTCCCTCAACCAGTGCCTGGCCAAGTGGAAGCGCTTCATCTACAACCCCACCACCGGAGAGTTCCTGGGGCGCACCGCCAAGAGCTGGGGTTTGATCTTGCTCTTCTACCTAGTTTTTTATGTGTTCCTGGCCATACTCTTCTCATTCATGATGTGGGTTATGCTTCAGACTCTCAACAATGAGGTTCCAAAATATTGTGACCAGATTCCTAGCCCAGGACTTACGGTTTTTCCAAAACCAGTGACTGCATTGCAATATACATTCAGTGTGTCTGACCCAACTTCCTATGCAGGGTACATTGCAGACCTTAAGAAGTTTCTAAAACCATATACTTTAGAAGAACAGAAGAACCTCACAACCTATCCTGATGGAGCGCTTTTTGAACAGAAGGGTCCAGTTTATGTTGCGTGTCAGTTTCCTCTTTTGTTACTTCAAGCTTGCAGTGGTATGAGTGATCCTGATTTTGGCTACTCTAAAGGAAAACCTTGTATTCTTGTGAAAATTAACAGAATAATTGGATTAAAGCCTGAAGGAGTGCCAAGGATAGACTGTGTTTTCAAGAATGAAGATCAAACAAATATATCAACATCCTCATAATGGAATTATAGACAAAATATTTCCCATATTATGGGAAAAAAACTGCATGTGTGCTGAATGATGTACAGAGTCTAGAAGAAAAAAGCCCAAATCTTGTGCACATTTAAATCCTGTACGTAGGTATTTCCGTATTTCAGTAGATAAAGCAGTCATTAAATAGCATTGTTCACATAAAAAAAAAAAAAAAAAGCTGAGTAATATTGCATAGGGGTACCAGAAACTGCCTCATTGGAAACAAAAACTATTTACATTAAATAAAAAGCCTGGCTGCAGGCTGCGTCTGCCACATTTACAGCATGGTGCGATGCACACGGTGACCAACCCACGGAGGCAGCTTCTGGCACTCACACCACGAGCTGCACGTTTGCCACATGAGAGTAAAGCAGAGGGTGAGAGGAGTGGTGGGGGGGGGGTCGCATTCACTTCTGGTTCCGGAGCTGATTGGACCGCCAGTCCAGTCCTTCATAGAGCCCGTCGCCGCTGATGGCACAGGTGGCCTGAATGTACCAGTTCCTGTGGCGTAGGGAGTGCAGCCCCAGCTTGTCTGTGATCTCGGCCGCATTCATGGCGTTGGGGAGGTCCTGCTTGTTAGCGAACACCAGGAGGACAGCATCCCGGAGCTCGTCCTCAGCCAGCATCCTCATGAGCTCCTCATGGGCCTCGTTCACGCGCTCTGTCATTGCTGTCCACCACGAAGATCAGGCCTTGTGTGTTCTGGAACTCGTGGCGCCACAGAGGCCGGATCTTGTCCTGGCCACCCACGTCCCACACAGTGAAGCTGATGTTCTTGTACTCCACGGTTTCCACAATGGAGCCTATGGTGGGAATGGTGGTCACCATCTCGCCCAGCTTTAGCCTGTACAGGATCGTGGTCTTCCCCGCAGCATCCAGGCCCACCATGAGGATGCGCATTTCCTTTTTGCCAAAATGGCCCTTGAAGAGGTTGGCGAAGACCTTCCTCATGCTTGTGGGCAGGTGGAAGGACACTGGCCAGGGACACCTCAGCGGCTGCTGCTCCCAGCCAAGTGTTGGTTTCGCTCCCACAAGATGGCAGCTCTGGCGGGACCAATTAGTGAGCTTTTATCTTGACCCTTAACTCTATGGTTCTCCATGTCCGCTACCCTGGGCAACATTAAGGAAATGACCGATGTTTAACACTCGCTCTTGAAGAGAAGATTCTGATTTAATTGTTCTGAGGTGACGCTTGAACACTGACAAAGTTTAAAAACCTCTCTAGCCTAATTGCTGCTGTTAGCTAATTTCTTAGTCTATCCTCAAGGAAGATATACTACAGCTGCTCTTATATCTGAAACTCCTTTTCAAAGCCACCCTCAGCTTTCTCTTCTCCAAGATAAATAATCTGAAACCCTTTCATCTTTCCTGAGAGTTCTTCCTTCTCACTCCCACTCACTGTTTTCATTGCTCTCCTCTGGAAGCTCTCCAGGTTCTGAACATCCCTGTCAAGTACTGATGTCCAAAGCTCCCTCATGGCCCGCCTGTGCTGCCTGCCTGCTGGTTGCTAGTGCTGCTTGCCTACACAGCCCTGCAGTGTCAACTGAACCCTTGGTTTCCACCAATGGAGAAACTCAGCAACAGAGAGAGCTCTACCTACATGTCAGACCAAGAAGCAGAAGCCTAAAGAAGGTCCTGCAGCCTGACTGTTGGACAGGGTGGCCTTCCATAGAGTTCTGCTAGGTGGGCAGTGGAGAAGGAAAACTGAAGAAAGGGCATAAATGGAGAATGAGTTGAGAGCAAAGTTCAGCGTGATGAAAAAAATGTATAACCTGGAAGCAGAACTCCAACATTCTAGTCCAGGATATGACCCGAAACAGCCACATAATCCTGGGCAATCCATTTTGCCTTTCTAGGACTTGTTTTTATGCATAAAACAAGAGAGTAAGACTGGGTCAGCCCCGGGCTTCACTTCAGTTCTGAGTCTTCTGCAGCTGATCTCAGGCTTGGAAAGAAAGACTGCTGGTCTGATCATCCCCCTTCTAACTGCTCTGGCCACAGTTCTTTCTCCAAGCAACTCTAGTTATTCCAAGAGTTGTTATATTCCTAATTCCAACAGCCAATGATTATAGCCCAGACCTACCACCACTAGTCTGTAAGCTTCCTGAAGACGGTACAGGGCCATCTACCATCTCCTGAATACAGATAAAAGCCTAGGAGCGCTCAGCTCACACAGCAGACACTTGAAACATTTCCTCAATCTTCAGGAATCAGAGCTCCAAACAATAATGACAGAATAATAGATACTCACTTTTCATCAACAATCATAGCTACCAAAGCTTAGCACCCCATAAAGTCATCCGTGTTAGCAGTCATGGCACGTACGAGGCACCTCCACATACATTCTCTCATTTAGTCTTTATTGACAAGCCAGAAAGACTAGCATTATCCCTATTTTATAGGTAAGAAATTGAGCTTCACTCAATTGAATTGCTTCATTCAATCTCGGGCAATTGAGAAGAAAGCTAAATTGCCCGAGATTCCAAAGCTATGAAGTGACACACTCAGGATTTGGATGTCTGTCTGCTCCAGATCCTTCTGCTCCACTCAAGCAGATTTACCTTGCAGATAATACAAGCTTCAAGGCTCCTCCCTTGCATAGGTGCCTTCCAATCCCTTGTACCTAGTTTTGAATTCTTAATTTTGTGCCATTTTCCATAAAGAGGACCCTCCGCAAATTGTCTAAGCTTCAAGACCTACAATCTAGATCCGTCCCTGAACTCAGCTTTCCCTGTTAACAGAAACACCAGTCTTGTTGAGTAATTTCAGTGTCAGGATATTTTTCAAACATGAATTCAAGAGGAATCCTTGCCACTTTCTGCTGTGGGAACCTATGCTGCTTCTTTAAAGAAACTGTAGCATATGGCTTTGCCTTGAGCCATGTGGACGTGAGTCACTCACTATTCTGTCTTCCCACTTACTCTGTGCCCAGGGTACTCTTCTCCCTCGCCAGTCTGTGGACTTTCTCCCTCACAACAGGCCTTCCTGAGTCCGGCTTTAGCCTGCAGCATGCCTTTCCATGCTGGTTGTCATAGGTCACTTTATTCTGTACTCAGTCTGTGGTACTGACTCTGTTCTACCCCTCCTGCTGCTTCTTTTGGTTTGCACTTTGGACTGGAGCCTGCTGCTGCTTTGGGATTGAGCATCAGCTGCTTTCTGTAGCCAAAAAAGCAATGCTGTTGTTCACTTGGAGAGGAGTGATTTGAAAAGTGGGGAAGAAGGGGGATTGCTGTATATTTCAATTTCTGTTAGGTAGGCTTGAATATCGGAATTCAGCTTCTTCTATAACATCTCGTATTTACCCATCAAAATATTCTAACACTATTTTTTGTCTACTATTTCTTCCCTATATCTTGACCTTAGTTATCAGATCTCTCTTCTTTAGATTTTATATGTATAAAATTTCCCTTTTTTGTCCCCTCTCTGCAAATCAGAGAGGGTGCAGATACAACTTTGGAAAAACACAGTTTAGCAAAGAAATAGCTTGGGAACTGGGGCTTTCAGGTGAGCTCAGCACACCATTTCTTTTTCTCTCTGGTCTGTCCGCTTGCCATCTCCTATAGCTTTAATAACTCCCATATAGCTACAACCATCTGACAAATGAGAAAAATCTTTGCTTAGTACATAAATTATTTATCGTACACTGGTAACTTAATTTGTAATATTAGAAAAACCAGGATAGAACTAGGCGATTTACACATATTTCCAAAATACATTTTCCATCAAGGCATTAGCCATCTTTCAGAAATGTTTTGTTTGTTTTTGAGATGGAGTCTCACTCTGTCGCCCAGGCTGGAGTGCAGTGGCGCGATCTTGGCTCACTGTAACCTCTGCCTCCCGGGTTCAAGTAATTCTCCTGCCTCAGCCTCCCGAGTAGCTTGGATTACAGGCACCTGCCACTATGCCAGGCTATTTTTTGTACTTTTAGTAGAGACGGGGTTTCACCCCGTTGACCAGGCTTGTCTTGAACTCCTGACCTCAGGTAATCCGCCTGCCTCAGCCTCCCAAAGTGCTTGGATTACAGGCATGAGCCACCGTGCCCAGACTCTTTTTTAGAAATGTTTAGATATGGCCAGGTGCAGTGGCTCATGCCGGTAATCCTAACAGTTTGGGAGGCCGAGGCGGGTGGATCACCTGAAGTCAGGAGTTTGAGACCAGCCTAGCCAACATGGCGAAACCCCATCTCTACCAAAAATACAAAAATCACCCAGGCATGGTGGCAGGAGCCTGTAATCCAAGCTACTCAGGAGACTGAGGCAGGAGAATCGCTTGAACCCAGGTTGCAGTGACCTAAGATCGCGCCATTGCATTCCAGCCTGGGTGAAAGACTGAAACTCTGTCTCAGGAAAAAAAAAAAAGAAAGAAAGAAATGTTTAGATACGATCCTAGTGGTAACAGAAGCATAGAAAAGTTGACATTAGGATACATGAGAATCTCAGAGCCATGTAATTCTAAGACATGTCTTAGGATGTGTATGTATTAATCCACAGAACCTACAGCAGTTAGAATATTAAATATTTTCTAGACAAGAACTGCAAAACACACAAAGCCAGCACACACCCATGCCCTTGCTGAGTTGTAAATGAGTCTGAGGAGTCACCTGTCAGTAGCAGCATGGCAATCCCATTAGCTAGGAAAGAAATCACTGTTTACTACTGACAAGCTTGTGATGAGATACTTTAAAACTCTGAATTCTGCTTTCAGTTTCTTCTCTTGCTTCCTGTTTTCATACTACACATGCTGCTAATTTACAAAACCCCCAATGTATCCATACCTAGGAACAAAATAAAAATTCTTGTGATGCACAGGAAAGGACAATTTTCAATGATGAGGAAATCCTCACATTTCCATTTCTGAATAGAAATTACACCAATTTTTGCTGATGGCTTCAAAAAGCACAGGCTGTAGAAGAGAAAAAAATGTATGGAGAGGAAACTAAATATACTTAACCATACATACTGTGAATACTATAAATTTTAAAATTCAAGATCTGATTCCTTCAGACAGATTCCTTGAAGACTAAAAGCATGCTTTGTATAGATATTAAAAGGGATATGAACAATTTGGAGGGTGTTCAGAGGAGAATCAGTAGAGT